ATGTGTGTGTATGCAATTATATGTAGAATGTGTTTCTTGAATAATGCCCTTATATTCTATTTGATTATAATCCAGTTCAGTGTAGTGTATTTCACACACCACAGAGGAATACGAATTGCAATTTACTAAAGGATTCCATGACCCACTCATGCGTCTCCACTGACAACTTGAAAGGACTGATCTGAGACACATGCCTGGATATGGACTTGCTGAATCGTAGGTTACCCCATTATTTTCAAACTGTTGATTTGCCTTTGAGCTCATTTTTGAAAGCATTTAAGTGGATATTTGAATTTAGGAGCATTCTATATATTTGTAGATTGTGGCTTTCAAGATTATTTAGTGTGTCATATAGCTGGAAATGGAAGTCCTGTTTGAAGCTTTTGTTCTTTTTTGGGTAGGACTGGAGTTTTAACTCAGGGCTTCACTCTTGCAAAGCAGCTGGACAGCTGGAGCTGGAGGCAACTTAGCCATACCTCCAGTCCATTTTGATCTGGTTATTTTGAAGATGAGGTCTTGTGAGCTATTTTCCCGGGCTGACCTCAAACTGTGATCCTCCAGATCTCAGCCTCCTAAATAGCTAGGATTGCAGGTGTGAGTCACCTGAGCCTGGCTCTGTTTGAAGCTTTCTGAGCTTCAGTTTTTTCATCTGTCACAAGAAGCCATGCACATGTACTAGAAGCCATGCACGATCCATTGTATTTCCATTAGATTTAGTTGGGAAAAAGGATTGTGCCTCTTAAACATTTTCTTGAACTATGTGTTCTTTCCAGATCTAAACTTGAATGAAAATAACTTTTGAGTCTCTGGATTATTTAAAATTCACCCAGAATTGAAGGACATGATGACTTACGATGTAGGGTTCCTAAGTTAGGACTAGGCAAATAGTGCTGGTTAACCTATTCTTCCTGAACTGCAGAAGCTGACTTGTGTAGGGCTGGTTTTTAGAGTCCTGTGGGGCAATGAGTTAGGAGCACTCTTGGATGGGGTGGGGGGAGGGATGGAGAAGGGGGAGACAATTCATGGGTAGCATTTCTGTTCTATCATATATGGACTTCATCTACATGAAGTTGCTTCTTAAACTTACTTTGTTTTCATTGTGCTTGTTTATTTTATGAATAAGGGCCTAATATAAATTTTTCTGAAATCTATTTCTGCTCATTTGCTCAGCAGGGTGCTCAGACAATTAAACCATTATATGCATGGAGTTGAAATTTTATTATCATTTTAATGAAAATAAACTCCTCATGGGTTTATTTTTGCTTTTCCAAATATAGTAAGAGCATTAAAAAAAAACCAAAAAACCTTGACTCATAACTTGGCACTAGAGTGAATGAGAGGTGGGCATGTGTTAATTAATTTGTATTGAATCACAGATCTCTCTCCTATTACCCTTGCTTTCTCCACCTCCCTGGGGCCTGGATTACTGCCTCCTCCAGATTCTAGTCTTTCTCTTCAATTTGCCCTGCTTGTATTTCATCTTCCTTAATCACTGTTTTCATCACACCACTCCCATGCTCAGAAACCCTCAAGGGATCTGTATTTCCCACCATACTAAATCTACATTCAGCTGCCTGTATTCAAGGATTCTCCTAATCTATTCTTTCCTTACATCTCCCGCTTTATTTCCTTTGCCAGATGTGGTTCTGGTTCTTGTGGTTTGGAGATAATGAAATTTTTGTACACCAAAAAAATTATAATCTGAATCTTTTTATAGGCACATTTCAGTTCAGTTCCCTTAAACAAAAGCACACATCAACAATAATTGTATATTTCCCCCAAGCCTTTGTGAGTGAGACTGTGTGGCCCTCTGGAAGCAGGGAGGGTGGGAGGCAGTTTATGCACCGTTCTTTCTCAATATACAGGGAGAAGATGAGACCTTGAGAAAGGTGACTTTCTGGAGCAGTTTGTGAAAAGCTCTGCCATTTTGACAAGTCTGGCAAAGGGCAAACAACATAGAGGCAAAGTGGGAAAGATATTAACTATAAAACCAGCAATGGCTGGTTCAAAATACTGTACAGAGATACCCCTGCATAAGAGAAAACTTGGCAGATCACAAACCTCTGGAAAAGATTCTGGAGGAGTTGGTAAATAAGATTTAAGAGAAGGCTATGTACCAGAGAAGGCTTTGCCTCTTTGAATATAGTTTATTTTCAAATTTTGTCTATTGTGCTCTGTATATGTAAATAATGTTACTACTTTGATTATTTTTTTCCTATTTCAGTAAGTTCCAGTCTTTTACTTCGTAACTGCATGATTCAGGGAAAGTTTCTTTACTCATTAAATTAAACTATTAATGGCAATATAGTATACAGAGTTATTCTGAGGGCTAAGTGGCAGAATTCACTTAAATAGCATAGAACGTGTTAAAGATAAAATGTTAGCTGTTTTTTCTATCTTCACTATTATTGTGAATATGCATAATACTCTTCATTTGAGCAGCTGTGAAAGTTCTACTTGTCTTTAAATACATTCAAGCCAGTTCAATTCAGTAAACATTGCACGAGCACTCAATATATACCAGACACTGAGGAGACACTGGAGATAGCACAAATATAACATCGACCTTCCCATGCAGCAGTTTACCTTCCAGTAGGAAAGGCAGACCCATAAACTGATTGCAGTCATGCACCATCTAGCGATGTGTTGGTCAACAATGTTGGAACACATACGTAAGTATGGGTCCATAAGACGATAATGCAGCTAGGCATGCTTTGTGCATGTTCTCTTCAATTTCTTTCATCAATGTTTTATAATTTCATTGTATAGATCTTATGCCTCTTTGGATGAATTTATTCCTGGTTATTTTATTTTATTTTTTGGACTGTGGGACTTTTTTGTTATGGGATTGCTAATAGTGATTTCTCTTTCAGATAATTCACTATTGGCCTATAGAAGTGTTACTAATTTCTATACATTGGTTTTATATTCTGGAATTTACTGAATTCATTTATTAGTTCTAATTGTTTGGTAAAGTTTGAGGGGTTTTCTATGCATAAGATCATGTCACCTGCAAACAGTGACAATTTGACTTCCTCTTTGCCAACATGGATGCTCTTTGGTTCTTCTTTTGCCTGCTTGCTCTGATTAGGACTTTCTATACTATGTTGAATGAAAGTGTTGTAAGTGGGTATTGTGTTGATAGAGTTTAGAGAGAAAGCTTTCAACGTTTCCTCATTTAGGATGACATTAGCCGTGAACTTGCTATATATGGACTTTATTATGTTGAAGCACACTCCTTCTGTACCTAATTTGTTCAGAGATTTTATCATGAAGGGGTATTGATTTCTACCAAATGCTTTTTCTTTGCCTAATGAAATGATATACAGTTTCCATCTTTCATAATGTTGATGTGGTATTATAACATTTATTGATTTGCATACGTTGAACCATTGTACATCCTTGAAGTGAATCTTACTCGATCATAGTGAGTAACTTTTTAAATGTGCTGTTGAACTGAGTTTTCTAGTGTTTTGTTAAAGGTTTTTGTAACTATGTTCATGAGGGATATTGGCCTATAGCTTTCTTTATTTTCTTGTGTCCTTTTCTGATTTTGGTATCAGGGTAATGTTGGCCTCATAGAATGAGTTTCAAAGAATTTCTTCCTCTTCAATTTTTTAGAATAATTTAAAGAGAATTGATATTAGTTCTTTAAATGTTTGGTAAAATTCAGCAGTGGAGTTATTAGTCTTATTACTGGTTAATTAATTAAGGTGTTATCTCTCATGTTTCTTATAAGGTTATTCTTTTTCCCTTCGAAATCATTCTACTTTGTGGAAAGTTACTTTGAGACTATTTAAATATTCCATTTTTCATCAAATATGTATTTGTTTATAACATAATAGACCCCTTCTTTCACATTTAATGTGTCATGTTATATTACTCACATTGCATATTTTGATGCTCAAATTATCTTAGATTTGGCCAGCAGGAGACCCTTTCATCTGGGTTCGTCTTTCCTTCTTTGACCACTTTGTTGCCCTCTGGTACAAGAAGATGCTTAGTTTGAGCTTGTACTTTGTCTTATGCAGCCCTAGAAACAGACATTTTCTTTTCAAGAAGCCCTGCTTCTTCTAGTGGGGAATAATATTTAGAAACCAAGATTTGATCACTAAGGTATGGTTGCCATTTTTGTCACTGCTTCCAGTCTCTTCCTTGCAGACTGAGCTAAATTTATGCATATTTATAAGTACATACACTTTCATACATTTATGTTTGTGATTTTCTATTACCTATCTCTCTGTATTTGTTCATCTACCAACCATATATAAAAAGCCATGAGTTTATATTGATATTTTTACTCCAGTCCAACTCCATAGGTTTAATCTAGTTTTCTCCTCTACCATATTTATAACTCCTTTTTCTGAGTGTGAGAAACTAGATTTCTATCGTCCTTAATTAGTAATTTATTTGACAAAACCCTTGTACAAAACCCACCTTTCATCCATTCTCACACAATTCAAGTTTCAATACTCCCTCACTACTTCTTGGACCCTTGTTAATGACTTTTGGACTGAATTGGTCAAGAAGAAAAGGAGGGCCAGGTGCCTGTGACTCACATCTATAATCCTAGCTACTTGGGAAGTTGAAATTGGGAGGATCATGGTTTGAGGCCAGTCCGGGCAAATACTTCAAGAGACTCCATCTCTAAAATAACCAGAGCAAAGCGGACTGGAGATATGGCTCTAGTGGCAGAGTGCCTGCTTTGCAAGGGCAAAACCCTGAGTTCAAACCCAGTCCCACAAAAAAAAGAAAAAAAAAGTGAAGGGGTAAGAGGAAAATGAGGAGAAAGCTATTTTTTTTCTTTTGGTTCATAATTTGGTGACTTACATGACTATTGACTCATCCTTTGATTTTTGCAAGGTGCTAGCCTTTGGTTTTTTTACTCTTTTACTTAAGATTTTTGATAAATGAATTTATTTTTCTGACATGATAAAGCTTTGAAATGTTAGAAATTCTCTTAGACATTCCTTTAATTTCATTCTTTTTTATTTCTACAGGAGGAATACAAGGCTTTCTGCTGACATCTTTGCATATTTTCAGTGCATTTGACCTTGGAAGTACCTGAAGAATGATGACTGCATCTTCAGTAGTGGAGATTATTTATAGGACTCAGAAGCAAGAGGTCACAGAGAACATACTTTCCCTACTTTCATTCTTGCAAAAGCTACACCTTTATTTATAATACTGTAATGAGTTTTTCATACCAACAGACAAAAGATTTCTAACACTTCCTGGAACTTCAAAAACAGAAAAAGAACAAATCAACCAAATTTCTTTTGTTACCCCAGTATTGAACAAAACCAGTCTTAAAGAATAATTGGTGAATAAACCAATATTAGTGCCACTATCTTTTATCTCCTTCACATCCAGACTAACCCTATAGAATTCTTGGAACACACAAAAAGTTACTTGAAAAGATAAATCTGCTTTGGAAAACATTAGTGTTTTAAAGAGAGGTGGCATTTATGGAAGTACCATATGGACATCTATCACTATAAGTCATGATAATTGTCAGTGAGCATGTCATAATGGTTAAATAACTTCATCCATGGTTTTATTCTTGAGGTCTGCCTTTGTCCTCCCACCTGATAACTGTCACACTTTCTTGACTCTGTTGAACCTAAAGTGAATATGTTGCTTTTATTTACCTGGGTAGTTGGTTAATTTGGAGGTAGTCATTTTGCAGATGTGATTTTCCTGCTCTCACAGACTATAAAGCCTGGAATTCCATCCTTGTTGTTTTATGCTGCTCACTTTCTTCCCTATCAATCCTCCTTTCCTCAACTCTCATCAATTCTCCTTTCTTTTCTGTTGAAAAAAGATATTCATTATGTATGTAGGTTTTTGCAAAAAGATCAGCATATACCCGCGTGTGCTCATATGCACAGGCACATATACACATTTATTCCAATTGTATATGTATGTTTGTGTTATTTTTTTCTTGTTTACTCCTAAAATATTTTTGTTTAACCACTTCTAAAGCTACAAAAAGGAGGAGGAGCAGGACGAAGAATAATTCCTTTTGGTTGCAGGGTGTATATGTATTGTAGCATGCTCAGTTGACCACTGGGGCACTGTGCCTCCCAATGAGTTGCATGTTTCACCATGTCATTGGCTATATGGAACCAGAAAGAGGGTAACCAAACTTTTCAAATAAAGAAATGCCTGAAAACAGAGAAAAATAGCAACTCCAATTTGGAAGTATGCTTGTTCATAAAACTGGTAGGTCATATTCATTGCAGGTGTGCATCAACTGGAACACTTCCCAAGCCTGTGAACAGAACATTCATTTCATTCATTCATTCAACAAATATTTATTGGGAGCCTTTCATATAGTGGACACTGTTGTAGGTGCAGGAGATGTGTTAATGAGGAAAGGCAAACATGGTCCTTGCTGGTAAATGTTTAACACCTGGCTTTCTAGAAACAAACCCTCTGATTATTAGTTCTTGCCAATTTCTGTGGTATAAATATTCCCATCAGAGTCATTTCAAGCTCTTAGTATCCTACAGAATCAGAAGATATAGGCACAATTAGCACTTATAAGCCAATGAGAGCTGGCCTTTGGTGTCCAAGATCATGTAGCCAAATTGAGGACAGAGACCTTTAAAAAAATTAAAGTGCTATTTCAAATTGTGATAAGGGCTGTGAAGAAGGGGAATGTGGCATTGTCATAGAATATAATAAAGGAATATGAACTAGATTGTGAAGGCATTGAAAATATTTCCTGGGCAACTAATATTTAAGCTCAAAACTTAAGGTACAAAAGGAGAGTACCAGATTAAGAGTAGAGCATTTCAGGCGAAGTTATGGCTCATGCAAGGTTCTGTGGTAGGAAGGAAGTTGGTTTATTTGTAGAAAATGAGAGGCTTTGTGGTTAAAAACTGAGAGGAAAAAGAGCACATGATAAGACTCTAAAAGGATTTTGATATCTAAAAGATTTGATACAATTACTTCAGAAATATGTGGCATTGAGGGGAATTAGGCAACAAAGCAGTACTTATATTCATTTTTTTTAACAAAAAGTCTATAAAGTTTGAATTTTTGTGAATGTATGTTTCTTTGTAACTTTATTTTTTTAATAAAGAATTCACATTGGGCAAGTATAATAGCATAGTTCACATATTATACTGGTCAAACAGTAACCCAAAGCATAGTGGGTACAAGGTAGTTATGTGAAATTCTGATAGCATAATAATGGCTCGTGGTAGGTGGAATCACTGCTAAGTGATTGTTAAATTATTTTCCTTGTTAAAATTACTTAAACTGGTCACAGAAGAGTAAACACAATCAAGAAACTTGGTATGTTTTCTAGTTGCTAAATAACGAATTACCCAAAAGAATGGCCTGAAACAATAACACTTATTTTGCTTATAGATTTCAGTTTGGTTGGGGTATGTTGGGGGCATTTTTGTCTCTGTTCCACCTGACATCAATAGGACGACTAGAAATCCAAAGGGTAGAATCATCTGCAGGGGCCCACAGTTGTGTGTCTGAAGGTTGATGTTGACTGTTGGCTGGGGTTACTGGGAGCTTTTACTGGAGCACCCCACTGGTGATCCTTCCATGTGGCTACTTGTCTTTCTCATAGTATGGTTGCTGGATTTCAAAGGTAAGTGTCCCAAGAAAGAACCACGTGGAAGCTCTATATTTTAGCACCTAACCTTGGAAATCACCCAGCATCACTTCTACATTTGTATAATCAAGGTAGTCACAAAGCATTGCCCAGGTTCAAGGAATGGAAGACAGGGCTCTTCCTTTTGATGAGTGAGTAAAAATTCTACAAAATCATAGGAGATTGGAAATCCTATGGTGGCCATTCAGGGAAAATACAACTTAACCTCTCCTTTCATCTATGCCCCAAATCTGCAGTGAAAATACAGAAAATTAACTAGGCTCTCAGTCCTGTAGCTGGATATGAGAATTACAAATTCACCTTTACTCCAAGACCACATTCATATATTGTGAGAGCTGTAAATTCTTACATGTGAAGGGAAAGATTTTTTTTAATTTAAAAAAATTTTTAAATGATACATAGTGACATAAAAGTATTATTTATGGGGTGCCTTGTGATTGTCTGACATTTGTATACATTGGTGTTTAAATCAGGTTAAATATAACTATTTCCTCAAACATTTATAATTTCTTTATGGTGAAAACATTAAACACATTCTACCTTTTGTTAATATGCAGCACACTATCATTCTTTATTACCTCATGGTACAATAGCACACCAGAGCTTCTTATTCCTATCTCACTATTTGTAAGCATTCATTGATCAACCTCTCCCTCTCTGTCTCTCCTTAAGCCAAAGAATTTTAATTATAGCATAACCTTTCCAATGCCTAGACCAGCTATGTTTTCAAAATTAGTTTTTCTGTGTACTGTAAAATTTATCTTAACATAAAGCAAATGAACACATTCCAGTGATGGGGAATATCTCCCTTTGTCTGATCTGACCCAGAAGTTGGTGGGTTTATTTTATGTTGGTTTGTTCCCAAGCTTACTTCTGAAACACAAGAACAGAAAGAACACAGAAGGGAAATTCATGGAAATGGATGTTTTACAATGGAATTTCAAATGGTCCTATTAAACGCACTTTGGTATCCTTCTTACCTACCAGCCTCACTTAATGTGTTTTTTGAGAGTCAGGTGCATTTTTCATATTATTTATTTGTTAGGTTTGAATCATCTCATCCATTTGTATCACCTCTGTCCTTGGTTCCAACTGGGGCATGTGTGCATATGGCATTATTAACAGGAGACTAATTTCTGCACACTTATTGATTATCCATAGAGTTGTGCTTAAAAAGGATTATCAGAAAGCACCCCATTAATGGAGCCCACTAGATTCAAATCTCCTTTTATTTTATTATGTAAATTGTTAGCCCAAAATAAACTACAAACTACATCTGTAGGGGTTCTAATTTTATAAAACACTATTATTGTATGTTTTGATTTCTTTGAACATACCATTTAAGAAGTTAAGGTGATCACATATCAGAAACCTTAAAAACTAAGCACCATGTAAATACAAATTTGGTAAGTAAAACAAGCAAACAAAAAACTGAAACAAATTTTCTTTAAAAATAGAATTTCTTACTGTCTTAAAATGTGGAAAAGTTTTTACTCATAGCTATATAAAACAGTTTGATTTAATTTTAATAAAGTTTTATTCCAAAGTTAATATTTTAGTCTTCAGAAATTTGTTTATCTTGAAACTTTTGGCAGTCCTTCTTTTCCCATAAAGCAAAACAGCAACATGAGTAAATGGTTGGCCTGTATCTTTTCTGAAATTGACAGCACAAATGGAATCCAAATATTTTAAACCTGAATGTGTATATTCAGTGATGTAGACTTGTAAGGGATATTTACTAATGTCCCTTGCTCAGACACATCATTATGATATTAATGGGTTGAGAGAGTCATCTTGGCAGCTCTTCAGTTCACCTAGGGGAGGTTTTTTTGAAGTACAGAATCTTGGGTCCTATACCCTAAAAATTCTGACTCATAGGCCCAGTATGAAGCAAAGAAATCTGTATTTTTCAAAAGTTCCCCCTTATGATCGAGTGTCTGCCCATTGTGGGAACAAGTGATCTACAACACTTGCTAATCCTTAAAATAATTTTTGTGGTATAAGATGTTCTAACTTGATAGAAGTGTTTATATCTCAGGACAAAGTGCTATTGTGTGAATTTCTACCCTTGTTATAACAGGGATTCAAGTTTCCACTAAACTTTTATATATTGATTCCCTTTGAAGGAATAGCCATACCTTTATAAAAAATGAGAAAGTAATTCCAGATCATAAATGTCATCATTATTCTCCTTAGTTTTGTGTTTTGACTAAAATAAATTTTGTATGTAAATACATTGTATAATAATGATGGTGATAATTATTATGGTTTGGACAGAATATTTTTTAGCTCCTCAGGGTCCTTCTTAGTAGATGTATTACGAACAATTACCAATGGCAGCCACAAGACATGCCTCACAAAAGTGGAAACTGTTGTATGGGACTAAAAAATAAATAACATTTCCACGGATAGAGTAAATAAAAGATATTTTTGCATAGAAGAAACTGAATAAACAAGCACACTGGAAGTTGCATGGCACATTCAAGGATGGTTAGGTGGCTGGGTGAACACTATATGTAGGAGACACTCAGGGATTTAACTATTCAGTCTTTAGTGATGGGGGCAAAAATTCTATCTTGATTCTATACCCAGTCATTCAGAGGGCCTTTTTGAGAAAATGTGTTGAGATGGATTCTGAGCCTATCTCTAGCTCTAGGGTTTTGTGGAATTCAGCTTTAAGCACAAGAGGGGGTAACAGTGTACCAATGCCACATATTTTTTAACCCTAGTCTATGTTATGTAAATTTATATATGTATTTTTGATATTAATGTCTTTCACATAGTCCCTTAACTCAGTGTGTACGTTCAATACCTGTGTCTCACACTCATTGGTTTTCACTGTGACGTCTCAGAATATATACTGAGATTCTTGAAGGATTCATGCAGTATTGATCCTTTGACAAGAGTGTTCTATTTTTGGCTATCATTTTAATCTGGAGAAGGACCATGTTAGAA